CAAACATCCAGCCTCAAAATGCAAGGATCAAGCTATGGTTGCTTCTGAAAATCTAAATAAATTCAAAGAAGGAATAATGAAGAGAAATCTTCGGCAAACTAGCATAGTATATGTATTATGCTTCTATTTTTTTTAAACTAGTATCTTGGCCTTGTCGCCGCTTATGCAGGGGTTTTTTCATGTTTGTTTCTTTGTGGGCCACACGCTGAGCCTTTGTATGAGTCTTCTCATGAAATAAATATATATTTAGTATAGAAGGAATACTTTATATCAGGTATCATACAAGAAAGCTATCAAAAGTCATTACTCTATGACTCCAAAAAAAACTTACTCTAAACGACTACATAAATATGTATATAAATGTTCATGAACCACAGAAAAAACTTACCAAGAGCGTTGAAGGCTATATTGTGCAATCGCCCAATAAACGTCATTCGACTTCCGTAGATTGTGAAGGTGGCTGTCAAGAACACAAGGTAATGATGCTAATGGCGCAACCCGTCAAAAGTGCTCTTGCCATTTCAGATTTTGCAAAGGCTCGCAGCCAAAGCCAACTCACGACGAAAATGTTACCGAAAAATGCAAATGGGTATACCAGGTACAAAACTGGCCGGCTTTTCCATCCCAAGAAGGCGGTAGTGATGATATCCCATGCCAATAGCGGAGACAAGCATTGTTTTCGGAATGCCTGGAACGAAATCATTTGGTTCACGTGAAAACAGATAAAATCAGTAGAGCGGAACGAAAAATCTCAGCATACCGACCAACTCCATGACACCAGCAGGACAGCTGTGCATCATTTCGAAAATACCAAGATCAAATCGGGATTCCCGCAACTGCCGTAACAACAAGGAGTCCTCGAGAATGCCTGAACAGCAATGGGATATTAAGAAATTGCGCAGTTTTCTTGAGGAGATTTCAGTGTGTCTAAGCCTTCAGTTAATGGTGAGACCGCAGAGACTCCGAGTGCGCAGATAATAAAAACAAGCCCGGCCGTAGTCTGAGAGGGACACCTCTTCCACAAAAGGTGCATTTGTTTACGGATTTTGACTACAGGAATGTTGACGAAGGACCGCGAGTTGGGTGAATCGCAAAGCTCCAAACCGCCCAATTTCCGAATCTCTGCTAGAATTCGTTTAAAGAACTGGGTAGTTACTGTAAGTATCATCTCCCAGAAAAATGATAAACAAATACATGCATTACGGCGGACTACATAGCAAAGACATGGTTTTGTTCAAATTCGCTATATTTGTATATAATATTTGATATGGAGTGCGGTTTTTCGTTTCAAAAGCTGAGATAGACGTGCACGTTATATGGGGCACAATGTATCTCTAGAGTGAAAATGAGGGGAATGAGAGTCAAAAATTAAACCGCAAGGCTCACTGACCTCTACAGATGTTATAAGCGAAAATTTGCATTCTAGCAAAGTCACGCACGTTAAGACCAAGCACCACATTGAAAACTTGATCCTTTTTGAAGGTCAAAGTATACCAGTCAGCTGGATCGTGGTACGGTGAGCTATACCTGAAAGAGAAGCGGAAAAACATGCTGGCATTCATGCGCAACCGCAGCGGTACTACCTTATTATGTGCTCAACGAGCTTTGTGCCGGTCTCGCTTGTGAAATCTGGATCGAATTCAACCAGCAGCAGTGTCTAAACACTAATCAAGTACTGAATAATTCTTACTCGCCCTAAAACAAGTAAAAAGGCGAAAGAACACGTGGGAATCTGCGCTCCTCACTACCTGCCTTAGGCTGGTGTCAGAGTCCGCGATCCGTTGCAGGTTTCGCTGATTTTCGCGATTTTCGCGATTTGCGCGATTTGCGCGATTTCGCGATTTGCGCGATTTTCGCGATTTGCGCGATTCACGCGATTTGCGCGAAACCTGCGACGGATCGCAAAAATTGCAAGTGTGTGAACATTTGAAACACTGAATATGAAACAAGTGGAATCATGAGCAGTCGTCATCAGCCATCACTATCAAGCAGAAGTTTCGCGATTTCCGCGATTCGCGCGATTTTCGCGAAACGGTGGCAAATCGCACAAACCGCGCGAATCGCGCAAATCGCGAAAATCAGCGAAACTGCGACGGATCGC